TGGGGAAGGAAGTCATTGAAGAGATTACACAGAGGAGAGCAGATTTTGGAGAGCTTGGAGCTTGGAGAAAGCCAAGGTGCAGCCAAGCTAAGTGGAGAAGAAAGCTTCCACCATTGATGACCTTGAAGCTTTCATCATTTTCTCAAAATCTGTAAACTCTTTCTAATTTTATTTTGAGTTTGTATTTGGAATAAGTATGAGCAACTAAACTCCATAGCTAGGGCTTAGGTTGAAGCCCTAAACATGAATACCTTAATGTTTTGATGCTTGAGTGTATGAATTTCTGGATATTGTTGATGAATTCCAATTCACCAAATTAATCTATCCTTGATGTGTGTTTTCCTTGATTGATTACCTTTGAAAGCATGCTTCTTGAGGTTGTTGGGATTATGTGTATCATCATGTTTTCCTAAGCAATAGATGGATGGAGTAAGAACCATCCATGTGAATTGGTTTCTTGAATACCTAATGTAAACACCATGCTATTAGGATTCTTGTGATGTTCATATTCTCTTTGAACTTAATAGGTTCTCCTTGTAATTGAATCGAAGTACGAACCATACCTAGGTTCGGTTACAAGGAGAGCACAAGTATTGTAGCACGAACCATGCACTTTACATACATTAGAGAGAATCAATGCGTCTTGAGCCACGAACCATGGTCTTGATTGCGAACATCTTCATCAACAAGTTTAGAGTTCATCACTTGAGTATCCATGAACATAGGTAGAATTGTTTAAGGTGGATTCCGAAACCCTAGTGTTTGTTACTTGGTACTTTCACATTTTGATAATTCATCTTGTTTTGTTTGTTTCTTTTACATTTCTTTACTTTCTTTTTAGTTTTAAATTTGCATTTGTGCATTGTGGTGTGTTAGTTAAGTGTTCTCTTTGTACTCGAATTAGAACTTATAGGCAACCGACAAGTTCTTCGTGGGATCGACCCCGTACTTACATAATCTATACTTCGATAGATTCGTGCACTTGAGGGTATTTTTAATTGGTTGTTTGCACATTAAATTGTGTCCTTTTAGGAATGCAACAGTCACACCATGCCACTGACCCAGTCAACATCCAGTTTGGAATCTGTTTCTCTGGGCGCACTAATGAACAATGCAAACAACTTATAGCTGCTATGGTAAAATTTTCCACCCTTTCATCATCCGACAACTCCAATGCTTTTGCTAATGCGGCAGGTCTGTTTAATCCTTCTTGATAGTGGAGCTACGGATCACATTACATCTGACTCCTCTTTTTTTGTTGACGAGAATCCCTCACATGTACCCTCCGTTAATTTACCTTCTGGCTCATTTGTACCCATTGATTCCACAAGCACAATTCTTTTTAATAAGGACATTACTCTCACAAATGTTCTTCATGTTCCATCTTTCAATTTGAATATTTTGTCTGCCAATAAAATCACTAAATCATTGCGTTGTTGCATTATCTAATTTCCTGATTTTTGTGTCTTGCAGGACTTGGCTACGGGGAAGATGATTGGCTGGGGTAAACAAAGTGCTAGTCTATACTACATGTCACCGCTCTCACCATCACTAATTTCTTGTCACGTCCCACTGTTTTCCCATCTTTGGCATCAATAGCTTGGCCACCTATCACATGCCTGTCTCCAACTCCTCCATATATTGTTTCCTTTTATTTATGTTCCTTTTGACAATACTTGTGGTGTTTGTCCTATGGCCAAACAGACTTGGATTCCTTTCCCTTCAAGTAATATTACTTCCAAGTTTCCTTTTCAATTATTACATTGTGATATTTGGGGCTCGCACCGCATTAAATATCATTGCGGCGCTCCTTTTTTTTTTTCTAACTATTGTGGATGATTATAGTAATGACTTTTTTTAATGAATCAAAAATCTGACACTCAATATCTTCTCAAAAATTTCATTGCTTTTGTTCAAACTCAATTTAATCTCTCCATTAAAACAATCCGTTCTGACAATGGTTCTGAATTTCTTTCCATGCAACCTTTATTTCTCTCCCATGGCATTGAGTTTCAACGCTCTTGCATTTATACTCCATAGCAAAATGGTGTGGTAGAACGCAAACACCGCCACATATTAAATATCGCCCGTGCCCTTCGTTTTCAATCCAATATCCCATTACATTTTTGGGGTGAATGTGTTCTTACCGCTGTCTACATTATAAACCGTTTACCCACTCCCTTATTATCCAATAAAAGTCCTTTTGAACTTCTCTATAATCTTTTACCAACCCTCTCTCACCTTCGTGTTTTTGGTTGTCTTAGCTATTCTACTATTGTCCATCCATCTCATAAATTTGATTCTTGTACTCATCGTTGTGTCTTTATCGGGTATCCAACAGGTCAAAAAGGTTACAAACTTTATGATATGGATAACAAAAAATTCCTTGTCAGTAGGGATGTCCACTTCTTTGAAAATATTTTTCCTTATCAAACTCATTCTCCTACTCCTTCCTCTGTCCTACCACTACCCCAAACTGACATTCCCCCTTCTTCTGGGCCTGCCGAGCCCACACCAATGCCACATAACCACCAAACCCACAACCAACTGGCACCCTCTACACCTGTGGACCTACCATCTCCTACTTCTTTTGACTTTGCCCCTGTAGACCCCCCATCTTCCACTACCCCTGACCTAGCCCCCACCCCACTGAACTAGGTTCCTCTTCCCGACCCGACACCACCAGGCCTATCCCTGCCACTGATTTGCTGCCCTCTCAACCCAACCTCACTGCTCCCCTTCGTATCTCTACTCGCACCAAACATGCACCTACTTGGCATCATGACTACCATCTCTCTCATGCTATTGTTTCTCTCGGCCAATCTTCTGAACCGACGTCAATTCCTACAGGTACAAAATATCCTCTTTCTAACTTTCTCTCTTACTCTCATTTTTCCCCATCCCATCGTTCTTTTTTAGCTCACATTTCAGGTCACATTGAACCTGCCACCTATGATCAAGAAGTTTCAGATCCTCAATGGTGTACTGCCATGCAGGCTGAGTTGGATGCACTTGCCCTCAACAATACTTGGTCCCTTGTGCCCCTTCCTATTGGTTACAAATCCATCGATTGCAAATGGGTTTATCGTATTAAGTATAACTCTTATGGCACCATTGAACGCTACAAAGCGCGTCTTGTTGCCAAAGGGTATATTCAGGTTAAAGGTGTGTATTATCTTGAAACCTTTTCTCCTACTGCTAAACTCACTACTCTCCCCTGCTTACTTGCCATTGCCGCTTCTCGTAATTGGTTTCTCCACCATTTGGATGTCCAAAACGCCTTCCTTCATGGCGATCTTGACGAAAAGGTTTATGTGGTTCCTCCTCCCGGTCTTTGCCGACAGGGGGAGAACTTGGTATGTCGGCTCCACAAGTCACTGTATGGCCTCTGTTTGTACCATATCTGACCCTACACTCATACCGTGACACGTGGAATCATAAGCTCCCCAAACATTCGGCATCAGCTACCGACCCTCATGCAAAGGCCTACAATCGGCATGCATTGGCGATTCTACGGAACAAACCTCGAAGGCCCCGCCTAGATATCCACAGACTCGTGTCAACCTCAAAAGGCCCTCCCACGAGTCCCACATCGAAACTAAGTGCTAAGAGCATCCCAAATGCCCTCTATAAATAAGCCCCTCCATTATAGACAAGGGGTAAGACTTTTCAGCTTGACTTTTATGCTAAATACATTGTCAGTGGCTAAAGCTCTTAGAAAGAAACTTACTTCGGCATCGGAGGGTCTTAGGCTGGTTCCACGCCGGTGCCATAGACCTCACGAGCCTTGGCTTCCTTTGATTCAGGATCGGCATCCAGGACGGGAAGAACCTACGTCGAACACTCAATCAATCCTTGATTGTCCATATCACCTGTAAGTTGCACCTATCTCTATCTGTTCAGTTTTAGTGCCAACAGATTGGTGCTGTCTGTGGGAAACGTTTATCGATCAACCCATATCTCAAACTTTAAGCCAAAAAAAAAAAATGAATCCATCCTCGTCCCTCCCTACCGACATGTGGCACGCATGCACATGAAACGTTTCAACTTTTCATACGCTGCAGCTCTCGCCCTTTGTTCGAGCGCAACTCCACCAGCGAACGGCAGGCGCACATTGATGAGTTTTCACTCACCGTTCGGCCACTCACCTCTCGTGCCGAACGGCAGGCGCACATTGATGAGTCTTCACTCACCTCTCGTGCCAAACGACAGGCGTACATTAATGAGTTTCCACTCACCTCTCATGCCGAACGACAGGCGTACAAAAGCCAAGTCTACACTCGCCTACGTTCGGCACCTCATGCTGTCTCTTTTCCAAGCTCCCTCGTTCGGGGACTTGGGGGACTACATGACCACCATCGGCAAGCCACGAAGGCAGGAACGAAACCATCGCGTTCGGGTCAGAATGCCGAAGACACGTTCAAGTCCCCAACCAAGAAGTCACTTCTCAATCGGAAACTTGGGGGACTACTGTTTGTACCATATCTGACCCTACACTCATACCGTGACACGTGGAATCATAAGCTCCCCAAACATTCGGCATCAGCTACCGACCATCATGCAAAGGCCTACAATCGGCATGCATTGGCGATTCTGCGGAATAAACCTCGAAGGCCCCGCCTAGATATCCACAGACTCGTGTCAACCTCAGAAGGCCCTCCCACGAGTCCCACATCGAAACTAAGTGCTAAGAGCATCCCAAATGCCCTCTATAAATAAGCCCATCCACTATAGACAAGGGGTAAGACTTTTCAGCTTGACTTTTATGCTAAATACATTGTCAGTGGCTAAAGCTCTTAGAAAGAAACTTACTTCGGCATTGGAGGGTCTTAGGCTAGTTCCACGCCGGTGCCATAGACATCACGAGCCTCGGCTTCCTTTGATTCAGGATCGGCATCCCAGGACGGGAAGAACCTACGTCGAACACTCAATCGATCCTTGATCGTCCACATCACCTGTAAGTTACACCTATCTCTATCTGTTCAGTTTTAGTGCCAACAACTTTGATAGAAGGGGGGAAATTCCAAATATAGAACCTACATGTGAGTGTTCACTAGGACTAACACAATTCATTCAAAGCCATATCCACATCAGAGACAAACAAACTCATTGTAGGCTCCAAGCAGATCTTGTCGACCACTTGTGGCAACAACATGGAGGAGAATAATGTATTCTGCTTGCAAGCATATTGTCATGCCCCAACCCACGGATTTACGTAATCTTGGATTAAGATGTGATTCACACCTTAATTATAGAATTTAATAAAAGCTATAACTAAAATGTGAAGAATATTTAAATAAATAAATAAATATTTCACATAGAATATTCAGTGGAAACGACAACATCCGAAATCTTACATTTTTGCATTTATTTTACAGGTTAGAACTACTCAAGAGCTCACTAAAAGAGTAGCTCATTATTCAACCACAAGCTACATACACAATACACCTTATAGACATGCCACAATCATCACAAATCCTAGATTTCAGATTCAGTACCTGCAAAATCTGTTAAGGGGTGAGCGAAACCACAACTCAATAGGGACATAAACATTTTCACGGTAAATTGATATAACTAAATTAGGTGACATACAATCACACAGCCAAATATCACATTCTTAATAATAATGCATGATTGCTCTTCATCTACTCCCGTTAATTCATACAACTAGACAAGCAGACCTGCACGTCCCATACCATGCTTATACCACTTGGTCCCGAATGCCAATTTATATGAACTAACCCCCATCTCAATCATCCCATAAATCCCTTTTTGTTAGTCATCTTGTATAACTCTCTGTCGCCAGTCCTGAATCACCCAATAAAAACCATGTGCACTGTGGGATCTCTGAGATTTAGTACCTTCCAAGAGTTAGACTCAACTACACAAAAGATTATTTCCATTACCCTCTTTTCCATCATTATTTTCTTAACCCAACAACTCCAACCAACTTCCATGATAGAATATAATTATGCCTTTCACATATCCCATATATCTCACAACAATGTAACCATTTAAAATATCACCAATGTAAGGAAACCATTCAATTGTAACAAGAACATTAGCCAAATAATCATATCACGCAATATATAGGGCTCACAAAATTTCATTAAACCAATCTCTGTAACTGCCCCCAAGAAACCCTCTACCTTGACACCAAAGCTTTTGCTAGAAATGTCAGGTGTTTCCCAATTTTCCACCACATTCACAAACCCAGTCTTCTACTTTATTTCCCTCCAATACTTCTTCTTCACTTTACCTCTCTTACTATCTTTCCTTCTTTCTATTTTCTTTTCTCTCTGTTTCTTTTTCTCTTCGCATGTATTTAACATAGAAGGTTTCCTATTTAAACTACAATAGAGTCGGCAATCTAATGTTTACCTATTGGTTGGTAACAACTTGTTATCCAAGTTTTGGATAACTTCTTCAAATTAATGACAGTAAGAAAAGATATACATGTAAAGAAGAAAAATATCTTTCATATTCAAATATTAATGGTAACCACTTGTAAGGCCTATAATGTATTCTGCTTTTGCCATCAACAACTTTTGCCAAGATGTCCTTTTAAAGGCCTATAATGTATTCCGCTTGCATTGGTAAAATATTAGTAGTATCCATTGCCATTATTCTAGAATCCTCACTTCGACGTTGAATTAGAACTTCTTCACGCCTAATAGCAAGTTGCTCTTGCTTAGCAACATACATCAATTGGAATTGCTCATCTTGTTTGTGTGCATGTTCTAGTTTCTATTTTCTTAATTCTTGGATTTCCATTTGAACATCTATTGCAGACTACATTTCCACCCATTGGATTTTTACCAGTTCTTTGGCTTGCCAATTTCTTTGCAGCCTTTTTACCTTCTGGCCTTTCTATACATGTAGATTCTTGAGAATCTTCCCCTAAATTGACTGCACATGGAATGCAAGGAGAAGAAGATGCAGGGCTTGCATTTGGACTAGTCGTAGATTTTTTCTTGCTAGTTTCAGTAATCCATTTAGGCTAATCCTTCAATAGATGCCAACAATGCTCATACACAAATGATGATCCCATGAGTTGTTGATACATTTCTTTTCCTAGTATGATCTGCACAATGGAAATAGGCTTTCATATGTATATATATATATATATCGCTTGGAAAGCTAGAGATCACAACTAAGTTAAACTACAGTTTGGAAAGAGATGAGTAAGAAAAAGATAGCATCTTCTTTGAAAATTGTGGTGGATTGGTAAGAAACTTGAAAGTCTTGTTCTTGTTTAGTTATGTTGGTTCACGGTTGACATCCCCCTATATGTTTCATGCAAAACTTATTGCAAGTACAGATTAAAGAAAACTTTTGGAGAACCTAATATGACAATTAAATTAATATTCTTTTGCTTTGACATAAATAAATATGTGAAAAGTTAAAAGATAGCATCACATGTGAGAAAGGAAGCCTACATCATATATGGTTGATAGCAGCACAAGTGAGTATCGCAAGAATAAATATACATAATGACTAAATTTGATTGTAAATTAGTAATTTTTGCAAGAAGATTACCCTGTCTTTTCATTGACACCACTTTGAGACCTCCCTTCAATCTTGGCCATGTATCTACGGAATTTATTCACTCTGAGTTGAATTCCTGACCAATGGTGTAGAAGAGAATTGGAACTGTGTTCAGAAGTAAACTTCTTCTCTGCCATCCAGTACTTCCGAATTCTATTCCAATAAGTAGAACTCCTTCGTTCGTTGCCATGCTCTGGATCTAAGCTAACATTGAGCCATGCAAACACAAGAAGCATATCTTCTTCAACAACAAAATTCTTAGCTCTTTGTGGTTTCTTGGTTGTTGGTCTAGCTGGAACAATCACTTGAGGCATGTCATTGTCACCTTCATTTTGGTTTGTAGGTGTGCAACCAAATGTTGAAAATGGGTCATTAAGGTCAACCTGTCCGTTGAGGATGTTGGCATAATATGTATTATCTACAAAATTCATCTAACAATTTGCAGAGAAGCACATTAAAAAATATTTGTAGAGAAGCACAATTTGCAGATGTAGAGAAGCACAATTTGCAAAAAATTTAGAAATTTTAGAAATTGCAGCGGAATTTGTAGATATTCAAGTGCTTTCAAATACTTTCAACAGAACTTGTAGAAATTGTATCGTGTACAACCCCAAATACTTTCATATACAAACCCATATCAGAGCCACTTAATTTCAAATTGTAGAAATTGCAGAAGAACTTGTTAATTTGAAGCACAAACCCAAACCCTTCCAAGCAAAAACCTAGAAACCCATATACAAATTTCAAACCCAGAAACCCATATACGCACCCATATACAAATTTCAACCCCAGAAACCCATATATAAATTTCAAGTAATTAATAAGGAATTTTCAAATCTCTCCTGGAAACACCACCTTAGAGTTCAAAGAGGGTAGAGAAACAGAGAAAATAGAGATGGCGATGGAGATTTTGACAGAGAGAATAGAGAGAAACAGAGAAACGATGGAGACTTTGAAGTTTTGGGTTTGAACGAGATGGCGAGCCTTGAATTTCTCTCTCCTCCTTGCTCGATGTAGCAAGCCAAAATGGCATCTCCAAAATGGTGAGAGAGGTAGCGACATTGTTGGAGCGTTGTTTTTCCTTCTTTTTTGCTAAAATAGCTATGGATGAGAGAGTAGAGAGAGTCTCCTGGAGATGTTCTAAGGCTGCAAGAGGATGAACATCAGTAATGCCCTGCTTCTGGATCAATTGGACATCAAGTGCAGAATCCATTTTAATAACAAGGTTATTAATCTCTTTATCCATAGAAAGCTTCAACCAAAAAAATAATCCCCATATTTTTGCCTCAAGAATTTGCCACTTCCCCAAGTTCACAGCAAAACCACTAACCCAATCTCCAGAGGAACTTCTAATAACAACTCCAACACCAATATGTCTAGAGCCATTCCTCCTTGACCCATCAACATTTAACTTGAATTGGCCAGAAATAGGAGGTTTAGATCAACCTAGACTTTATGATTATTCTTACTCAATATATGAGAAGCCTCAAACCACTCATGGATAGCACGAACAATAAGTTGTTTAGGATCAAAGGGCACATCTTCATCCCCTTGAAAAACTTGGTGATTTCTCCATTTCCACACATACCAACAAGTAAAGATAAACACCAAACTCCAAGGAATATTACTACACCAAACTGCCTGAGAGAGAAGATTAGTTTGAAACCATGGCAGAAATTCCATTTGAAAGAAATGGCCCTGATGGTTAGGCATTAAAATGTAATTCCTTATACCTCTAGCCTTATAGCAATCACGAAGAATATGTAATGTAGTTTCAATAGGCCACTCACAAATACCACAAGAAGCATCAAATGTCAATTGTCTTCTAACTCTTTGCGCATCGGATAGAATTTTACCTTGAGCAGTAAGCCAAGCAAAAATCTGCAATTTAGGAGGTATCTTTAGTTTCCACAACGATTTGAAACTATAATCATGCCATGAGGGACCATTAAAGAACATATTGTAAGCGGTTTTTACAACAATAAAAAAACTCCATTGGCAGTTCCTTTCCAAATCTAGCAGTCCTGCAAATTACTATATAAACCCACATGATAGTTAACAATATGTTGAACAAGATCTTCAATTAAAACTCTTCGTAATTTATCCAAATTCCACCACTCATCTTTAAAAAAACTGGATACAGAGCAATCTATATCCTCAATATGCAAGACCCCATCATGCTGTGACAAAGGCTCATCAATAAGCCAATTGTCTTTCAAAAATTTAGTAGTATCCCCTTACCAACCCTCCAACCCATTCACTGCCTTAACAACTCCACCCCATACATAACACCCTTCCAAGTGGTAGAACAATCATGTTTGATCATCAAAGAAGAATCTAAGATAGACTTCCCTTTAAGATATTTAGACTCATAAATCTTAGCCCATAAGCCTTTGTCGTTTTTATGTAATCTCCACCCAAATTTAGCCAAGAGGGCTTGATTCATGGCAGTAGTTTTTTTAAAACCTAAACCCCCCTTGTTCTTAGGACAATAAGTTAAATCCCATTGACAGAGGTGGATCTTATGCTTTTTCTCACTACCACCCCAAAAGAAATTACGATTTAATTTGTCCAGCTCTTGCCCCAAACTAACAAATAGCTTGGAGGTCTGCATAGCATAAATAGGAACAGCAGAAGTGACAGCTTGTATAAGAGTTGCTATACTAGCCAATGAAAAAAACTTTGACTTCTAAGAAGCAAGCCGCTTATGCACTTTATTAATTAAACTGTCATAAGGTAATTTAGTAATTCTAGAATGCAACATAGGCATGCCCAGATACTTACCAAGGTTCTCAGTAAGAGGAGAGCTACAAATAAGACTTACGTCCTTAGCTGTCTCTTTACTCGTATTTGGTGAGTAGAAAACAACAGATTTATCATAATTCACTGTTTGCCAAGAAGCACTGCAGAACCTCTTAAGACAACTCTTTAGCATCCAAGCTTGAGTAGAATTAGCTTCAGCAAAAAGAACCAGGTCATCTGCAAAGAATAAATAAGACACAACTGGGCCAGATTGTGAAGACTTAATTGGTTTCCAAACTCCCTTTTTAACAGAATAAAAAATAAGATGAGATAGCTTCTCAATACACATCACAAAGAGATAAGGAGATAAATGGTCTCCTTGTCTAATGCCATCCTTAGGAAGAAAATGATCAGTAAGCTCACCATTCATGCAAATTTAATACCTCACAGTAGACACACAACTCAAAATCAATTTAGTTATAGGACAAGGTAACCCTAACTCCACTAACACATGCTCAACAAACTTCTAATTTAATCCATCATATGCCTTAGACAAATCAATTTTCCAGGCCATAAAGCCTTTCTTTCCCTTAGACAACTTAAATTTATGCATCAACTCCTTAGCAATAAGTATGTTGTATGTGATTTGCCTACCAAGCACAAAACTTACCTAGTTAGGGCTGATGATATGAGGCAAAATATGTCTTAATCTAGCAACCAGAACTTTAGAAATAACTTTATAAATGGTAAAGCAAAGGCTTATGGGTCACAAATGCACCATAGTCTATGGTTAGTCAACTTTAGGGACCAAAGTGATTAGAGTATAGTTAAGTTTCTCTGGAATTCAACACTCCTTAAAAGCATTCACTACCATTTGAAAAATATCACCAACACATTGATTCCACTGACTCTGATAAAAACATGTAAGGAAACCATCTACAAAGACTAGTCTTAACCTTAGCCAAATTAATTGGTCGAACCAAACCATGTAGATCAGCCACATCAATAAGGGGAAAAGGTTAGAGTGATCAACCACATAATCAATAAGAGAAGTAGCAGAATCGAGATTGGAAAAATGATCCACAACCAAGTTTTTTAAACAGTTAGCCTCCTCGATCCAAATACCATTAGCAGTCTTCAACCTTTCAATCTTATTTCTTCTCCTTCTTATGATATAATGGTAGTATGAAAAAAATTTGGTGTTCCTATCACTATCTTGTAGCCTAGTAATTCTCGATTTTTATTGCCAAAACACAGCTTCTTGCTGAAGAGGCTTCCAAATGACTAAGAAACCTATTAGGCTTCTTGCATAAAACTTTCTGGATACCAACAATTCGAGCCAACAACCAACCTTTTCTTTGGCGCAGATGTCCAAAAATATTAATATTCCAATGTTTAAGAGGCTCAATTAAGGCAAAAGTCTTCTCCACAGCAGTACCATCACCAGGAACCCAAGATTTAGAAATAAAATCATTAAACTTCTCATGTTGTAGCCACATCGCTTCAAATGTCTCACAGTGGCCTTAGCAAAGAACCCCCTCCACTCCAAATTACATAGCTTGATCAAGCCTTTCATAGACTTTCTTATTATTCCAAGTAAATTTGAGGCTTGAGAAACTCAAATCAACCATAACATTGCAATCAAAACAGCTTCTAAAACCTTTCAATCTACAAACATGAGCTCCTCCTAATTTATCATTCACATTCAACATTTCATTAAAATCACCAGCAATTAACCAACGCAAATGTTGACAATCAGAAATAAAACTTAGATACTCCCATAGCTTAGCTCCTTTAATACCACAAGGGCTAGCATACACAGATATAAACAACCAAGGATATTGGCTAGGCCAAGCCACATAAGCAAAAATAGATTGGTCTAAAGTCCCCAAAATATCAACATGGACTTTAGTGGCATCCATAGCAACCATAAACCACCAGAAAAACCATTAGCATTCATAATTTCAAAATTAGAGAAACCTAGGGATTTAGCAATACAAGCAGCTTTACCACCGCTTATACGAGGCTCATAAATGAACAAAATGTCCATATGATTAGTATAGATCAAATCCATCATATTAGTCTTAAACTTTGTGCAAGCAGCACCTTGAACATTCCAACAAACAATATTCATAAAGACAACTAGAAATATCAGAGGAACCCGAGGGTTAAACCCTTTTTTAAATACCAACAATCATACCTCCACCATCGCTGAAGGTATTGCCTGCCAAATTCCCACCACAAAGGCTAGCTTGGCCTTCCAAAAAATTCATTTTATCAACTTGACACAAACTATCAGAAACATTAGAGTTCAACGTATCCTCATCACCCTCAGAATCAAAGCTCCCCACATTTCTAGCATCTTTCTCACTTATATTAGGCGGTTGATGACCAAAGATGTATACACCTTTCTCATGGTGACTCTTTTGATTAGTGACTCAACTAGTGATTTGATCAGGACTAGAACTATCAAACATCTTTCCTTGAACAACCATCTTTCCAATACGAGCTACAGTTCCAACAAACACTTTTGAAGGACCAACACATTTCCTGACACTCACATCACCAGGGACTTTCCCCTCAAAAGGCTTATTAGAAATATCAGTCAACACACTTCTAAACATGGGCTTAGCATTTTTGGATTTAGTCTATACTTTCTTGTCATGCTCCATATCAAGAAGAGAGGAACTATTAAAATGGGACTTGTCCTGCTCAACAAACACATCACTAACCTCCTCATCTTTTCCAAAATTGTCATTAATGCTCCTAAGAGCATCAAAACTTGAGCCCTTAATAATAATAATCAAAGCTAACTAACTCAAATGGAAATTTGGTTAAATCATTACTACTGAGTATCGAAACCGAGACCGTAACCCCAAGCCTTACAAAGCCATAGTAACCATTACGCAAGTTATTTATTTCCTTTTTAAAAGAGCCATAAGCATTACGCACAACGGCGCAAGTTAGCGAGACATGGAATGCACTTTGGAATTAAGATAGATAGATTACCAGAAAATTCACCTGTCTGGTCTCTCTATCATAAGTTTCCAGAAATCCCAGATTAGGGTTTACTTTCTCGAACTCTCAACAACACACTGACTCTTTTGCCTGGTAAGATCTCCAACCCCAATCTTTTCTTTCATTTTATTTTCAGTCTTTCCTTTCATTGGCATCATAAAAATGCTTCCTTTCGATTTCTGAACACACTTTCACTGCTCACTCGAAACGATAGATAGAAAACCCTAGGTCTTCAAAGACCGAGAAGAAAACGGAGAAGAATGGATGAAGGTGACGGGGCCGATCAGTTCCACCGTAACGAGGCGATCTCGGCCGTGGCCGACGACGGTTTTTTGGCCGAAGAGGACGATGATTATGAGGACCTTTACAACGATGTCAATGTCGGCGAGGGGTTTTATCAGTCTATGAGAAAGAACGAGGAATTAGGGTTTAGAAATGAAGTGGTGGAGGAGAAAAAGATTGAGTCACCGGAGATTGCGGCTCCGGAACCTCGCGGTGTTCCCATACCGGGTGTTGGGGGCGGTAGCGGTGAGGGTACTGGAGGGGGTGACGGAGGGGTTAGGGGTTCTGGGTATAATAACAATAATAATAACCAGAATCTAGGGTTTAGAGGGAACGAGGTGGGTGTGAAAGGGAGTGTTGGTTTGGGGCCCATTGGGGGTGGAGGTGGGATTAGGGTTGAATTAGGGCAAGCATCGGGCAAATTGAATGAGTTTGAGCAGCAAAGTGGGAATAATAGTGGTGCTGGTGTTCAAGGGATTGTTGCTCAGCAGCCGCCGCCACAATTGCAACAACAACATCAACCACAACCTCAACAGCAACAGCAACAATTACATGCTGCTGCTGCTGTTGGGAATGCGGGAAATGAGGGCATGTTGAGGCAAGTTGGTGGTGTTGGAGGTGGGAATGTTAATGGGATTGGTGGGAATAGTGGTCCAGGAGGAGGATTTGGTGGTGGCGGGGGTGGTGGAGGCGGGACGATATTATTTGTGGGTGATTTGCATTGGTGGACTACAGATGCAGAGCTGGAGGCAGAGTTATGTAAGTACGGACCAGTGAAGGAAGTGAAGTTTTTTGATGAGAAGGCGAGTGGGAAGTCAAAAGGATACTGCCAGGTTGAGTTTTTTGATCCCGTTGCTGCTACAGCCTGCAAGGATGGGATGCATGGGCATATGTTTAATGGGCGGCCATGTGTTGTTGCTTTTGCATCACCATATAGTGTTAAGAGAATGGGGGAGGCTCAAGTAAATAGGAACCAGCAGGTAGCCCAAACTGCAGTACCTCAAACTGGTGGGAGGAGGGGGCCTAATGATGCCGGGAATAAAACTGGTGGGAATAACATTGCGACAGGGGGAAATTATCAAGGTGGGGATAACAATAGAGGTTACGGGAGAGGTAATTGGGGGAGGGGTAATGCTCAGGGTATGGGAAATAGAGGACCGGTTGGTCAAATGAGGAATAGAGGTGGTGGGATGGGTGGCAGAGGTATAATGGGGAATGGTGGAAATGGGTTTGGGCAAGGTATTGGTGCAACCCCTCCTTTGTTGCACCCTCAGCAAATGATGGGTCAGGGTTTTGATCCAGCTTTTGGTGCACCAATGGGGAGAATGGGGAGTTATGGAGGCTTTCCTGGTGCTCCCACGCCTCCTTTCTCTGGAATTTTGTCTTCATTCCCACCTGTGGGGGGTGTTGGGCTGCCTGGAGTAGCCCCTCATGTGAATCCTGCATTTTTCGGCAGAGGGATGCCCATGAATGGAATGGGAATGATGCCAACATCAGGTGTTGATGGGCCTAATATGGGAATGTGGTCTGATCCTAATATGGGTGGATGGGCAGGTGAAGAGCATGGTGGTGGGAGAGCTGGGGAGTCTAGTTATGGTGAAGAAGCTGCTTCTGACCATCAATATGGTGAGGTTAGTCATGATAGAGGAGGCGGGTGGCCAAATGCCACAAAGGAGAAAGATAGAGGTTCGGAGAGGGACTGGTCTGGATCTTCTGATAGAAGGTATCGGGATGATAGGGATCAGGGATATGACAGAGATGTGCCTAGAGAGAAAGATGTGGCTCATGACCATGACTGGTCAGAAAGAAGGTATCGTGATGATGGTGATGTTAGTCGAGAACGGGACAGAGAGCGTGATAGGGTCCGAGAACGTTCTCGAGATCGTGATCGTGATAGAGATCGGGAACGAGAACGGGACCGTGATAGGTACAGGGAAGACCGAGACAAATATACTGATCATCATAAGTACAGAGACCGTGAACCAGAACATGAGGATGAATGGGAACGGGGAAGGTCATCGAGGACTCACAGTAAGGCACGTGTATCTCAAGAGGATAACCGTCGGTCAAGATCAAGGGATGCTGATTATGGGAAGAGACGGCGGCTTACTTCCGAGTAACTGCTCTGCAGCTTCTTGCTTTTGATGACTTTCCATTGAGGAGGAAATGGAATAGAGTAAAAGAAACTTTTGGTGGCTTTTGGTTCGCCATGCTTATGTGGACTCTCTTTCAAGTGTTGTTTTTGGGTCGTTGATTCATCCAATGGCTGCTCTCATGTCATTGCCTAGATTTCTTGATTGCTTCTGTCTTGCAGGAGCAGAGTTCAATTCTCATGTGGAAAAAGGTAAGCCTATTAAAATTCAGTTTAATTTTCATCTATGCTTTTAAGTTTGATAAATGTTTGTTTGTCTGTCTGTCTGGGATATGCCATCCTTGTTTTATGCTTTTATCATACATCACCACTCTTGTATACCAGTTATGTTCTTGTGCATTGTTTGTACAGTTATTGTTTCTAAGTTTGTTTGTGTTGGGAGGTTTTCATTCCCTTGTTCTGACCTCTCCGTACCTCTTACTGTTGTTGATCAGTTTTTTTACTTTGCCTTTTTTCTAGATCTGTGGTATGATAGTTTTGATTACTAGGGATTTTGAGTGTTGATTTCAATTTTTATGCTATGTTTGTCATTTGGGCTGAACTTGATGTATTACAATACGTGTATGATTAGAGTCTAAATGATACAGCTCTACACTAAGTTTTCAAGCATTCATGACATATTGTATCATGAATTTTTGTGCTTTTTCGAATCCTTTTCCTCTTTACACCTACTACCCTTACCACTAGTGTGTGTACATATACACAGTACATTTGTTTGTATGGAACAGATGCTTGACGCCCCTCAATTCCTTATTGTGTTTACCTCACTGTGAAGTCAATGTGATAAGTGACGTGCAGTTTTCCAAGATGTCATCAACACACTGAAGTCAATGTGATAAGTGACGATGACCACAATTGAAAATGTGTGAATTTGTATATGTATACAATTTGGTATCTCCATTTTTATTTTTTTTTGTTAAGACTATCACTCAGGACTATGCATTCAGACATGATTCCACTTGATTAATGGCTTTGTCTTGCTAGAGAACAGTACCCTAAATATATAGGTGTCCATGGTTTATATCTAATCTAGTTTTTATAAAAATAAAAACTTTGTAACTTTAACATTATAAAAGTTATGATTTTGAATTGCAATTTTCCGTTAATTTTCATTTTATCTAGTTTTCATGTTAATGATCCTGCCATATTCAAAATATATTATAGTATCTGATTTTTTGGATTATTCCCCTACCGTCATTTTGTTGGATTTGGTGGCAGCAGTGAAATGAGGATTTGGTCCTCTTTTTTATTGTTTCTTTTTTCTCTCTCTTGTGTTCCTTGGTGTTTTTTTTTTTTTTTGTTGTGCTTTTGTTGTTCTGTTTGGCTGTGGATGCCTTATCCACCTTTTTAATATGTTGTTTCTCTTAAACAATGACCTGGAAACTTACTTGGACAGTGTTCTATTGCTTTAAAATAGATTTTAGTAACAAGAGAAAACTCGGTTGATCTTGCCTAGGGTTGCTGTGCTATTCTATATTGCTTTTCCTTCAGAAAGTGCAATGTTCCCTTAAGGTATTCTAGACGGCTCCAGCAGTCATCTTACCCAGTCTTGGAGATTTGGAAACCTGCCATTTATATTGTCAGTGCAGTTTGTTGCTGTGAAATGGTTTACCGGTTCTAATGTCTTCTGTAGACCTTTTGCTTGTTCAGGACAAATACAGTAGAAGCACTACATTCTATCGATTTCCTTACTTGTTGTAAATTATGGTGAAAACCTGCCCTTCATATCTATGGTCGACCAATACTTAGAATAGAACCTAGTAGTTCTTCTTGCTACTATGATCCAACTGTGTGGGATCCATCCTTGGATTTTGAGGACGTGGTTGCTTTTTACTGACTTTCGTGTGTGTGTGTGTGTGTCTTTGTGTATTACCCTATACTGCATTCTCCTTTTTATCATTTAACCATTTGAGGACGTGGTTGCTTTTTACTGACTTTTGTGCATGTGTGTGTCTGTGTCTGTGTCTGTGTGTAGTAATGTAGTAGAGTATTTTATTGTTTCCTGATGATTATGCTTATTGTAGATCTGTCACCTGTTTCACTGTCTAATAGTTTGAAGGACACTCTATCGTGAGAATTGAAGCTGTGAAGTACAACCCAGAGTTGCTTTGGAGATGAAGAGGACCTCCAACTTCTACATTGAAGAGACGATGCATGGTGTTTCCCTTTCTCTAGCTGGATTTAGAAGCCGAACTCTTGCTTTTGGTTTTAGCTTTCTTTTGCCTTTATGTTTGAGTTAATTATAGCACTTGATGAAAATAGATTTGTGGATGATGTTATGGCTTGAAATTGCTGAAGTCTGGAATGTGGTAGATTGTTCTGGAACCTGATATTTGACTGTTGTAATAGGATTTAGCAGAGGATGTTGCTAATGTGCCTTGTTCTGATTGGCTAGTTGTATCATCTTTCCCCCATTTCTTCTTTTGTTTTGTTTTGGGTAGTTGTATCATCTTTCCCGCCATGCTGATTGTGCCAAATTTTTGTGAGGATGTAGAAAATTAACCATTCTTTTAAAGCAATTATTTAGACGCAGAAATTGTATAGTAGCTTATCATGTACATAGGGAAGAGCTGGTGTATGATATCTTGTACATAGTGAATTCTTTGTTGAATGGATTCATTTTCATAATGGCCTCCCCCTTCTCTTCAAAGTTCATCTGATTTTCTCTCTCACAAGTCCCAAGAGCTTAGTTGTTGGCTCTGCTAAATTATTATTCTGAATGCTCTTCTTCTGCTTATGGTGGGATTTTCTTGCAAATATCATTTGGCATGCTTACAGACATGGTAATTGTAATATCTGGGAATTCTACCACCTTCACTTGTAAGTTGTAAGTTGTAACATAACCATATGATCATCATTCCTACTTGAACCGTCTTTCGTCTTTCGTATCTCCGGCAATGGTTCGACTCTTACCTTTCTCCTCTCTTGAAATGGAAAAATAAAAATATAGCTGTGACTATAACTTTTCTTCAATAGTTCGATTTTCGCTTAGTTAGTAGAACTGTAACTCCAACATTCGAATTTTACCCCTATTCATGAAATATCAATCTCACTCAAAAGTAATGAGTAGGACTCAGTCAAAGATAGAGTAGTGGTACATCCAATGCACCGATACATTGCACATTTTAGTCATTGAATTAAAAATTTAAAAGAAAAAAAAATCGAAGTCATTGGATTAAAAAAAAGTCGAAGAATAAAATTACAAAAGTGCAGCAGACAGTAACAGATAGTAACAGACAAAATGCAAACAGAGGATCTGAATAACTCGTCATGTATAACAAAGCAGAGGATATGAACTCGCTTAAAATTCAAAGTCAAACAATAAATTCATTTTTGTTGTAAATAATGTGGAGCCTACAAAGTAAGCAATGAAAAGAAAGAAGTAAATGAATGTGAAGACTTTGTGTAAAACCTACAGGATAGGTGCAGCAAATGTGGTCGTAATATTTACTGCTATAGGAAAAAGATGTCAGCCCCCGCTTATAAAAGGAGGTCTCAGTAAGAAAGAAAAACACACCGAGAGAGAAAGTTCTATCAGCGTAATACCACAAAAGAGAAATATAATCCCACTCCAATATTTAAAGGTACTATCATATTTTTTTTGTTTTATAACACGTTATCAGGACGATAGTCTCTCTTCTTTACCTCTAAATCTTTTTAGCTAAACACTATGTGGTTATTTCTTTGTCTCCTCTCCGTCATATGTCTACTCTCACTTTACTATTATGACGACATATATACGTTCTTTTTTGTATTCTCACAATTTTTATGTTGTTTCATTCATGTTTGTTTAATTTATCTTTTCGTATTATAATTTGGAATGACGCGGTATTATCCATCATCCTACTATTTTATGGTGGTGTAGTTCCATTGTCCATCACATTGTAACAATTATTATTGTAATAAAAATGGTGGTGTGATTTTAAAGCCCATCTTATTACTATTATATCTTAAATAGTGGCGCGGTTATATTGCCCATAATATAATAACTTATATACTGGGAAAGTGCCAATTTAACTACACTCCTAATAGTAATATATATTTATTTATCAATAATTCTTACTAGTGGGATTTCTTTAATAATAACCATTACTAAAGGTTGACCCTTAGTAATAATTATTACTAATCACTTACCCTTACTAAAACATATGATTTCTTTTATGCTACTAACATTTCTTTTTATTTATTTTAATAGTTTATTATATACTGATATATAAAAGCCACAATTACACCTTGGACGATGCAATTAAGCATATGTAAATACCAGTGTGTGATGTGGTAAATTCGATATATAATATTTTATTCATATGTCATTTAATTTTGTTACTTTATTGCAGTTTATTATTGTGAAAGAAATCATCTGTTAACATACATGTACGATGGGGGCCTTAAGTTCATGTTAAGAAATGGTCTAATGTCACAAATCTCGAACATGAAGTTTCGAGTTAATATGCAAAATATTTTTGGTCTAAAGTTCAAAAATAAAATCTTGTTGAGAACCTGAAATTCTAACAATGTGCAAACATATTATTGCAAATCCTGATACATCTCATTTTCTTTTGAAGATGGCAAACTTAGCAAAGCTTAAATTTGCTGTTTGGGACATATCTCGAAACAACTATCTATCATGGGTCCTAGATGCCAAGATCCACCTTGAGGCCAATAGCCTTGGAAAAACCTTTGTAGATGGAAACGATGCATCCCCAGAAGAAAATGCAAAGGTCGTGATCTTTCTTCGCTGTCACATCCGTGAAGCGCTGAAAAGAGAATACATGGCGGTGGATAACCCACTGATTTTGTGGAAAGCCTTATGCAAAAAGTACAATCACCAAAAGACAGTGATCTTCCCAAGAGCCATATATGAATTGACACACTTCAAATTCCAAGGTTTCAAGTCAGTGTCCGAGTATAATTCGGCGATGCATAAAATTACCTCTATGATGAAGTTATGTGAGTAGAATATCTTTGATGAGGATATACTTGAAAAAACCATCAATACTTTCCATGCCTCAAATGTGCTCATGCAGCAACAATATAGGCATAGTGGCTTTACAACGTACTCGAAGTTGGTATCATGTCTTTTGTTAGTAGAGCAGAACAATGAGCTTACGCTAAAAAATCACCAATCTCGCCCAACAGGCTGGCATTAATTTCCTGAGATGCATCATTCACTTCGGGGAATGGTGCTAGGCCTGTTGGGTGAGATTGGTGATTTTTTAGTAGAAGCTCATTGTTCTGCTCGACCAACAAAAGACAAGATACCAGCTCCGAGTACTTCGTAAAGCCACACTGTCTATATTGCTGCTGCATGAGCACATTTGAAGTGTGGAAAATACTGATGGCTTTTTTCAAGTATATCCTCATCAGAGATATTCTCCTCACATAACTTTATCATGGATGTAATTTTGTGCATAGCCGAATTATACTCAGACATTAACTTGAAATCTTGGAATATGAGGTGTATCCATTCATATCGGGCTCTCGGGAGGATCACTGCTTTCCACAAAATCAGTGGGTTATCCACCGCAACGTATTCGCTTTTCAGTGCTTCATGGATGTGACAACAAAGAAAAATTATGGCCTTTGCATTTTCTTCTGGGGATGCATCTTTTCAATCCACAATGGTTTCTTTTGGGGATGCATCATTTCCATCCACAAAGAAGTAAATGAATGTGAAGACTTTGTATATAGCCTTCGGGATAGGTGCAGTAAATGTGGTTGTAATATTTACTGATATAGGAAAAGATGTTGTAAGCCTTTGCCTATAAAAGGAAGCCTTGGTAAGAAAGAAAAACACACCAATCATAAGAGAAAAGGGATAGAGAAATCAGAGAATTAGAAAGATTTAGTAAGATTCGAGGGAGAAAGTTCTATCAGTGTAATACCACAAAAGAGAAATACAATCTCACTCCAATATTTAGTGGGTTTATTTATAACTTTTTTTGTTGTTGCGGGGAGGGAGAATTCTCACACACACTGCCAAAGTGCCGTGAAAATTTGAATTTGAGACCAACAGTATGCAAATTAAGGTAATTTTCCACTAGGTTAAACCCGATTAGAAATCTAGATTCATTGGTTTGGTTGGCTAGTTCTACAAGCTCATAGTGGTTTTTTTGTTTGTTAGAATGTGTCTAAAACAGGCCTCCTACTTTAGTTGAAGTTGAAATGATAGTTGACCGTTTAGCCATCCAATTCTACCCTCTCACCCTTATCCAAAGAAAGAGGGCAGAATAAGCTTGAACTTAGTGTCAAATCCAATACAATTAGTGGGGCTATGATGGCTTGCTAGACTTCTCATTGATTTTATGGTCAACAAAATCATCATTTTTGCCAATAAGAGAGCAAAATGCCATACTAACTAGCTCTAGCGGTATTTCTCTTTCCAATGTCGGAGGATATCTCGGTTTGAATCCATCTCTCTAGATTGATAAAAAAGTTAAGAAAATAAAAACAAGGGAAAGTGGGTAACTAAAGAAAATTCCTCTACTCATATGATTGACTCAAATCAAAATATTTATACCACAATCTACTCAAATTATATTCTCTCTATATAATCCCAAATTACAAACTATTTTAGTAATAAATAAAAATAAAACACTTCTGCAAAAGCACTAATAAGTAACAAGTAGGAGTTTTACACAGACACTGTCCTCAATTAAGAAAGACTCTAAGCAAATAATTAGCAATCAAATTATAATTTATAAAAGGACACCCAAAGCAAATAGCCACAGAGAGCAGAGAGTCCACTATAATTATCTGGGTCTACCCATGTTAGATCCGGGCCCACCCTTCCCCAACCCAACTCCACTCACACCCATCTGATGAAACCCGCTTCCGCCGTACACGTGTCCCTGATGCTGATGCTGATGCTGATGCTGATGCTGCTGCTGCTGCTGCTGCTGCTGTTGCACGCACTGCCAATATACCCCAGCTCCTCCACTCCCACCACCACTCTCGTACCCAACCCCACCATTCCCGCCACCTCCACTCGGGTCCTTGTCACGCGCGGCCACGCTGCTCTTCTCCCCCTCCATCTCCCTGAACCTCTGCAGATAAACCTTGAGAGGCTCCACGTACTCCTCGAACCCTAACGTCGTCATCGCCCAGAGCAAATCATCGCCGTTGATCGTCTTCCGCTTCTCCCTCTGGCACTTGTCCGAGGCCTCGCCGGTGATGAAGCTTATGAACTCCGACACGCACTCCTGCACCGTCTCCTTCGCGTCCTTGGAGATCTTCGCGTTCGCCGGCAGCGCCTTCTTCATGATCCGGCTCACGTTCGCTATCGGCAGCAGCCGGTCCTGTTCCCGAGGCGAGAGCTCGCTGTTTGATTTCGTGTGCGCTCCGCCCGAGTCGTTGTCCGAGTCCGCCATTGAAGAAGCTCTTCTTTTCTTCTCTTTTTTATTCAAATTTTAAAATAAATAAAAATACTTCTTTACTAATTATGGTAGAAAAATCCAGAAATTGACTTCACATGCTGAAGCCGTCGATCAAAAACTATGGTAAGAATCGAAATTTGAAGTTACAAATTCAGCTGAAATTTCCAGGAATTGCAAAATGAAGCTTCCAAGTTTGCAAGAAATGAGTGAGTATTTGGATTTTGGTTGAGAATTTGAAATTCAGTGAGAAGAGAGACACAGGAAGACGAAGAAGAGTATGAGATTCCGAAAATTATGAAAATTTAAAATGGAAGGGTTTGAATTTTGGTTGAATTATGAGGAATTAGGATCAGAGAGAGAGAGAAGGAGGGAGAGAGAGAGAGAGAGGGAGAGAGAGTGGTTGGTTTGGGAGCGAATGAGTTGGGTCCGTTGGATCATGGCGTTAATAACGCCTATCTTATGGTCACGTGGATGAATGTGGACCGTCATTTGCCGATAAGAGTTGAGTTCGCACCGACGGAATTACAGCCGTTGGATTGGTTGAGGTGGATGATCTGGACCGCGAGTTTGGTATCCGGCACGTGGTTGGTCTGACCTGGATTTCCTTTTTCAAAAGATATTCAACTTTTTGTGGGGCGCAAACTTACCTCTATTCTATTATTTATTTCATTTTCTCTCACCGATAATTATGTTTTTTTCCTATAACGCTTTACTCAGTATCTTGTATTATATACAAATTTTATTAATATTTTATGAGGTTTGTTAAATTGTGCAGGCATATAGGATTGTAAATCATGCCATATAGTTATACCACCCCGATCACTATCTTGGCCGTCCATATCTCTACCACCATCGCCACTCCCACCATCATAGTCACCACCACCACCACTACTCCTACCATCCGTGCCGTCATCACTGCCCATCCCCACTCTCCGGACCGGAGCCATAATTTTTTTTAGAGCACGAGCAATATTTAAAAAGCTAAAAGTTCAACAATGAAAAAATAAACAACCAAATCATTGAAACACTCCAACGCATTCAACTTATGTGCATATTGAATATTTCTTATAAATCTGTCCAAAAAAAAAAGAATATTTCTTATATTCATTTTTGTTATTACGTTTTCCACCTTAGAAATGAAGTACATAAATTGGACGAAAAACACTGGATGCGTGCAATGAAGCAGCAACTAGGCAGGAAAGACATAATGGGCACTAGCAGAGGAGCATATTGCTACCCACCCTCACCACCATTCCACCACCATCACCACCCCCACCAACACTCCACTGTCGTCACTGATACCACCAAACAAATATAAATGTTAAATTCTTTGTTTAAATCCATTATACTTTTACAGTATATAAATAAGAAACTTTACAAATTTTTGAACATTAATTTCCATCAATTTGATTAGAACATCTCTAAGCGAGATGTTAAATCCAACGTGACATTTTTAGCTTGTAGAAAGAAAAAAAAGCATAGACTCACTCCAACTGAAATGTTTAATCACGCGTAAAATAACATTTCTCCATTATGTTGTTATTTTTGGTTTTTTTAATAAACAAATCAACACTAATGTAATCAAATAAAATTTTAATTTGATATGTGTGGTGGAATGTAAAACTCTATTATATGTTAAATTGTCACGTAAGTCTTCAAATTCAAATTTAATGTTTAGTATTTGACTTCTCCTTTGGAGATGCTCTTAGAACTTTTAAATTTCCTCATACAAATGCATGATGACATACACTTACAATTTGGATAAAAGTTAGAATTTCTAATTGACATACACCAATTCCCTTGTCTTAATTCATAAACTAACAAACAAAATTTGAAATTTCATATCGAGAAAATATGGGATTTGGAGGTCATAAAAGTCCAATGTTAAATTTAACAAACTAGGTATCTTTTTAAATTTCAAGCTAGTGTGAGTTTTAAGAAAAGAAAACCACCATGTATGCCGCCGTCAACGCAACCTCTACTACCACCATATTTCCATGGGTGTCACTATGGTGTCATTGCCATCAACATGCACTATCATTGTCACCAACATTTTCCATGGCCATCACCATCAGTGCATTCCCTACCACCTCTACTACCACAACCTTCTCGCACTGTCATTCTTGCTAACACCACCATTTGCACCGCAACCACCACCCATATCACCTTCGTCACTACCACCACCATGCCACCATCGCCACTACAGCCACAAGCTCTTCCGCCTTTGTCACCTTCACCACCCCCACCCCAACCTTGTCACCCTACCACTAGCAGCCCACCCATCAACATCACAGATGATGGCACTATTACCACCACCACCACTATTAATGCATTTACCAACCACCACTTCTCATTTTATAGATTTGAGGTCTCCAAAAAGATAAATGTTAAATTCTGTGTTTAATACTTTTAGGTTAGTTAAACAAGAAACTTTACAATAATTAAGTTACAAAAAATGAAGTTACTTTTGGGCAACACCTTGCTTTTTGCCCAAGTTGTTTACCCGCAATGTGAGTAAGGTGTTGCCTAATATGAATCGTGAATGTTGGACAAAAATGTAGCAATGGTCCCTCAAGTAAGAC